TAGTTTAACCGCCAAAATTCTCACGAGGCCGTAGGTGATACTCAACAGCGAGGGAACGCTGAATTTTAATAGGCAAAGTTGAGCGTGGGCAAGGAGTTATTACCCTAAAATTTCAGCTTTCTAGACCCCGTGGTTCCCGAGACAATAATTTACCCGTAAAAAACTTTTACGGGGCCGTACGAGTTACCCGCGGGTACGGGAAAGCTGAATTTGAATGGGGAAGGTTGAGTGTGGGCAAGGGTCATTACCCTAATATGTCAGCCTCCTAGACTCTGTGGTTTTTGAGATGTTAATTTACCCGTAAAAAATTTTCACGGGGCCGGCACGTGTTACCCGCGGGTACGGGAAGGCTGAATTTAAATTTGCCGCGTCGCCCGTTGGCGGGGAACACTATAGCAAAATTTCAGCTGCCTAGCTTTTGTGGTTCCCGAGTTAAAAGTGCGGGACAAAATGTGGCACACACACACACACACACACACACACACACATACACACACACAACCCCACGACAATCCCGTGACAATATGCGTTTTGTAACGCTGTTACACAACACAAAATGCATAAAAATCGACTATATCTCGGTCAATACTTGGCGCATACTGAGGAATGTTCCTGTAGTAGTACTCTCCTTAAATAGGGCGGAAGCACGACTTCAATAACTGATCGATTTTCGAGTGCAAAAGTAATGTAAAATTGCAAAGAAAAATTTTCGAACCATTTTTGATCAGCTGCACGATCGATTCGGTGTCGTTGAAGAATGCGGCTCGATGCAGCGCATACTGCTCCAGTTCCGCCATTCCCACGTCCGTCCACGCTAGTTGTCACACGTCAAAACGATCGCCAACAGCCCACCGCCGCGCCGCTGCCGCCACAAGATGGCTGCTGCCTGAAAAAACCTCGTGTGTGCCAGAAGCCCTCAAAGTACTGGTTTATCGTCAAAAACGCGCGCGATGATCTTTGACCTTTGAAGTTTTTACCCAACACAACAATTGGAACAAAAAAACGTTGTAAACGATGGGACATCTCGTGCGATACTTCGATATGCGGAGGGATTAACCCTCACGCACTGACCATGGAACTTATTCGCTCTCAGCTTTACCTAAACATCAGTTTCTACGGTAAAATATCTGCTACCTAAAACCCTAGGGAAGGGAGGGGGG